TATACCCCGGTTGTTTCCTCCACCCTAGTAGCGATGGCCTCCAACCTAGTAGCGATGGCCTCTCCAACCTAATGGCAATGATGGCCTCCAACCTGATAGCAATGGTGGCCTCCAACCTGATAGCAATGGCCTCCAACCTACTAGCGTTTATACCCCGGCTTCTGTAGTTACAGGTGAACGGCCTACTAGTACCAGCAAAGCGCAACTGGTTTTCCTTGAGCCAAACGTAGGGCATGTGAGACATGTATACAGTATACTCGCGTGAAACAACACCCCCCGCTGAACGAAAATGGGCGGAGTGAGCTCTATGTACAGTGCGTGAAACGAGGACCTACAAAGACAACCGGTCCCCCGGTGCGCACGAGACGAGCGAACCGGTCGTGCCTTGAGATGGAGAGGAAACTTGACCTCAAGGACACTGAATCGAATGCACTGTAATCGCTCGCTGCTAGTGTCAAAACATGCCACACGGCTCATCTATGAAGTCAAGTCGAATTCGTGAAGTTATGCATCAACACTCTTCTTTTTAGCGCATCGGAACGGATGGTACAGAGCTCACCTTTTAGAAAGCAGAAGCAACACCATAAGGCACACGCTCCCACGTGGCGAACCTGCACATCAAAAGTACACGCGCATCGAATATGCGGTGATTCAGAGCGAGGTTCATCGACCTAAGCTCAAAACGAATTAGCTGATGGTTGAGGCAACCGGTCCCCCGGTGCATAGCAGAAGCGATTTGATTTCAGGGCAACCGCTCCCGCGGTGCGATGAGGGATGCGCAGCGCTCAATGGAAGCGATGTCGCCTATTGGAACTATTTTTGGTTTTGTTTTGATGTTTTGTCCACAGGCAACGACTCCCGTCGCGCGGTGCTTCTACCAGCGGCGCTGGCTCCACCAGTCATTCCTGCGCCAATCTCGATTGCGATCCCCGGTCTTCGCGCCGCCACCCGTGAGAAGACTGGCCCCGCCACGACGAACTCGATGAAGATGATCCACGCCACCAACCTGAGTTCCATCGCTGCTCGGCGGACTCAGCCTGCGTCTGAGCAGCCCTTGCTAGGGATTGGCCGGGTCCAATCGCTGCCTTTGCCTTTGGGATGACCAAAGCTGTTGACTCCTTGACCAGCTCAATGTTAGGCTAGGAATCCTCACTGACAACAGCTCATCAAGGACGGCGTCAGGGTCCTTGGTGTTCGAGGTCCATTCGCCACTGAAGCCCAAGATCGGGGGGCGCTTTTAGCCTTTGCAGTAATCCGCTACAAAGGTCTCTGGACGACGCAGGCGGTTCTTCCGATAGATGAAGAAGTCTTCGCTCAAATCCGCCTGCTCCCCCTTGGCGATTTCGTTCCTGTGTCCGATGCCCTGGGCAATCATCTCCCTTGTCCTCGGAGGGTCAGGGATGACAGCATCCGATAGCCTCTCAAGGAACTGGATGCAAACAGGAGACAGGTCCTGGGCTGCACAGTTGAAGGCATAGAGAGGGTCGACGGATTGCCGCTGCGCAAATGGTAAGGTTCATCTTCTCCGCCTTCTGTACATGGCTCTTGGCGTTTGCCTTGAGGATATTGATCCCTGAGCGCGATGCTCTCGGCTTCTCATGTCCCCGCCGGCGTCTTTCTCACACCAGATCCCTGCAGCCGATCTTCTGGCGCCAGCCATCTAGTCTTTCCGTATCCCTCCTTCTCGGGATGAGCAGCCCTCCAATCGAAACGTGGCTTTAAGTTTGCCATCATGGTCTCGGGCGAGACTTTGTTCCGATAGGCGTTGAAGTTGGGCTTGCGAACAAGATACGTAATCTCATAGACCTCAAGCTCAGGGTTGCTCTTCCCGCTGACCATCTGGTCCCTCACTTCGTGGAGCTGGTTGATTTCGCCGTAGACAAAGGGTGAAAACGTGTCCACTTTCCCGCGCCAGTACTCGTAACCATCGAGCACACGGTTGGTGCACTTTTCGAGCGGACTCATCACAGTTACTTCATCATTGGCATCCGGTCCCCGGGTGCGAGAAGCATAGAACGCTTTCGTGCTCCGTGCCTACCGCGAGCGTAGACATGGTTCGCGAAGGCATAGCACTTGGACTGCGTGTCATAGACATACATCACACAGCGGTTGGCAATCCAATCGGGGCACAAAATCGTTCCATGAGTCGATGGCCATTGAGGACGATCATCTGGAGGTCAAGAGCTATGCAGATTGGGCGCGTCGCCGCCATTGCAGCATATAGTCGGTACCGGAGATGGTCCAGGGGTCCTCCTTGGTGAGGAAGGTGTATTTTGCCCGTGTCCGGTTTGCGCCCGGGATAATGCCCATGTTGACGGTGTCAAGGAGGGCCGCATGTCATACTCCGGGTCAAGGCAGATGAATCGGTCGTGCTCCGGAAGAGCGTCCGGGTCCGAGGCATAAGACCACTCGTTGTGGTTCTGAATGGCCTTCATTTGGAGCGGGGTGCACTGGTATTTTTCACCGACCAAAGGCCCCTTTGGCGCAATCTTCACCTCCATCATGAACCGATGGTTGGATGTAATGACTCGGAGCAGCTCGTCATTCGTGAGATTGACGGCATACTTCTTCTTGATGAAGGTATACGCCTTCACATAATCTATCCAAAGGCCCTTGTCAAACGAAGGTGGCTGCACCCTCTGCCAGGTCTTCCTGTTGCGTTCCCAACCACGGAGCAAGCCGCTGAGTCGGCGAGACAGCCATACCGGCCATACCTGACTTGAGTTCAACTCGACTGCAGCGCCACAATCTCATTTTCACCAAGCGGTGATGAGTCAGCTGGGATAGGAGGTGCACGAGGCATTGCCTTTGCCTTGACGGCAGGCGCTGTACCCAAGGCCGTAGCTCCCGCCGGGCGTTTTGGTATTCTGGGCTCAGGTTCTCTTGACTTGGCGCCATTTCGACATCGGCCTCAGCTCCCGCCAGGCGTGATTTTGTCTTTGCTTCACACGCCTCCTCAGGCACTAGGGGCGCTGCTGATTTAGCCTTTGCTTGCACCTTCGGCTTCTTCTCGACGACCGCCTTGTTATTGTTGCCCAAGTCAACCTCGCCTCGGTATTGTGTGACCTCGCGGAACCGTCTGAGAGCTTCGCCCGTGAGGACAGGAACATCTTCCTCGTCCATGAAGATCCGGATGACGTCGCTCTCATCGGAGTTCTTTCTCAGCTGATATGTCACACTGGCAACCTGGCAAGCTTATTCCGCAGTTCCAAAGGAATGGCGGTGAGTATAGGCTCTTTGAACAGGACCTCAGGATCTCCTCATCAGGATCAGATCATCAGGTTGATCCACGTTTTCGAAGCCCTGCTTGTTAGCCGACTCGAGATGATCTTTGATAAGGTCAATCCAAGCTCGTCTTCCTCAGTCAGCGCAGTTGGTTCCGCCTCCGTGTCACCCGTCTTTGGAACAGGTGCAGGGTTTGAGACGAACTCCATCCCAGGAGTGGTGACTGGTGCCTGACTGTTGTCATCTCGGCTCCGTCCCCGGAGGCGAGTCAGCTTTCGGTGCAAATGTGTCATCGATCTCAATGACCTCGGCGCTTTCCATCGGCTGATCTGCACTTTCCATCTGCACTTTCCATCGGCTGATCTGCAGAGGGCGGAGGCGGCACCACATTCATGTCTTGGTCACCTTTCTCACCTGGATGAAGGGCAACAACCTTGCAGCTTCGATCTCCTCCTTTGTGGCCTCGACCGGATCACCCATTGGTGTGAGGTGGGCAATCTCGTCAGTATCGGACACGGTGACCTTCTATACCCGTGGCCGTCGACTTCCCTGTCCACCAAGAAAGAGGTAGCCCTGTTTGATGCGTCTTTGCCAGGCGTGGTCGGGGGTGGCCTGGCGTCGGGTCTTCTGGCTCTTCTGACCTCTGGGTTTCGCATCGGGGTTTGCGTCTCGACGCCCGCTGGGGCCCGGAAATGATACTCGAAGAGTGCCACATTCGCGTAGTTTTTCACAAACAATGCTCGGTTCTCCTCTGAGTTCAAACAGTGGAAGTTGTCGTACCTCGAACACGAACGAACCATAATGTGGTTCCGGTCAACGAAGTCACTCCGAGCGTCGTGAACACCTCAGCGGTTTGACACATCTGTCGCGCATACTCCTCTGGCAATCCGTAGATCTGGGCATCGCAGTAGCATACCACAATGGCCGCCACATCTTGGCGCTGCCGCAGGTCAGCGAGTCGCCGCATCTGCTGCGCATGCTTCTGGGCGAGCTCTGCCTGCCACTCATAAGCGGCCCGCTGCCTTGTGGGATTCCTACGCAGGACGTTGGTGTCAACCCAAGGGTTGCCAACGAACCCATGATTCCCGTAAATGTCGTTCCCAGCATAGGACACGACAATCACTGCAGGGGCAACACCTCCCGGCGCGCGGCCGCTTGTTGTCAAGGCAGTATTCGATGACATTGATGATATCCTCCAGACCTTTTCCACAGTGCAAACTGTACTGGACGCTGCCGGCTCGATCGGTGAGGATAGAGGCGCCAGCCTCCTTGAGGTACTCACCGACATTGCGCTTCACACGCTGGACGGTCCCATCGGCAAAAGTTTCTTCATCCGCTAATGCCATAGACGAATCACCTGCAAAGATGAAGTCGACCACGGGTCCCATCGGGCAAGGAAGCTGCGTCATCAGACGCGCCGGATTGCTCTCAAGGAACTCTTGATGAGCTGCGTCGATGCGGCCCAGCGACTTAGCGCGTGCATCAAAGGGATCAGCACCGCATGTTGCATCCAAATGACTACGGCCATCATGCATCGACTCCACAAGGTGCGCAAGCACCGCTGTCCTCTTCAGAAGATCCTTCCAGTTGCCATCGTTGCGAGCCTCAGTCGGCTGGGATGAAGGGTTGATGTACATCCCAGGGTGGTTCATGAGGAAATCCACGGCATCAGTCTCGCAGCCGAACATAGAGG